GTGTGTGTGTGTGTGAAGAGTGTGCTGGGCTTTGCAGCCACAAAAATAACTGCAGCATCAGCCTTGAGCACACTTAACAAACTGAGTGTCTGTGGCTATCAGGCTGCTCAAGGCCTCTCCTGATTCCCATCAGTCTACACCAGCTGCACTTTATACTTTTACATGGTTTCACACGAAGCCGTCGAACCAAAACCAAATGAATCAGTCAGTCACTACTTAATGAAACTACCGAGGCAGCAGCTGCTGTCCAACATCTGCCTGAAAAAAGACATTTGCCAATTTATAGTGATTGATTTTGAGTATCTATATCAATAGACCATTTTGTAAACAGGATATAGTAAAAGATCATTCACTAAAAGTACATTTTTAAACACATCTGGGAGTGGATTCATTCAAAAACATGTTATATCTCTATATCTTATGCTGCATTCACATGGATTCAGGCAGACGGCAAACCAGATGTCATGTTAGTGGATGAGAGCAGGATGGTGAAATCAGGTGAGGTCGAGTGAATATTAGCAAAGGTCCCGGTACCTGTCCGAAACAACCCCCTCGTCTCACTTTCCCGTTCCAAGCATGTAGGAGAAGCTATGGTGGCCGATATATCCTATCTATCTATGTATTTGGTTTGTTACAATGGAGACTGTACAGTGTTACACAACACAGGGATTTTTTCAGTTCAGCGAAGGCACCAGCATGCAGCAACGTATTATTGTGACTCTGCCACTTACAGTCCACCACATGATGTAACCTTTCCAATTTAACACAATCTGCTTGCCTCCTATTGTTTTGTGCCCTGCCGATACGATTACACTTGACAAATTCAGCCACACGTTTTCACTCCCGTGTGGATGAATGCAGATCTTAAGGTTTATAGTTAGTTGGCTTAGTGTGGGAGTGTGGGAGTGCGCTGCCACCCCTGTAATCCTGCACTCCGCTGCGGTGTTATTAATTGGACAGTCGTGTAATCAGTGTGTTAGTGGGAGGAGGATGAGCGGCAGAGGTTCAATGGTCAGGGGCTCTACAACATCGCAGGATTAACACGTTGAATAGGTGAGGAGATACACACACGCAGGATGGAAGTTTACGTTTTGAGCAGCTAAAGACGTGGTTATTTGGCTAAATGAGCACTTTCTAACTTATATTGTAGGGTGTAAAAACATCTTCTTATGTACACATATTTTGGGTTTTCTAAGGGCAGCTTTGTGACGTGACTCAGGAAAACAAGAGCTTTAGGATGGAAAAAGAGAAACAGTGTCCTCTTTTTCAAAACATTCTGCCTGTAAATGTCTGAATAATCAAGTCAACATTTGGCTGCTGAATTACGTGTTGACATGAACCTGTTGGTAGCCTGGTTTCCAACAGTAAACAACACGTAAAACAGAGCCAAAGAGACTCATTACAAAAAACTACAAATTAGGACTCTTGTACATGTGCGCTCACCTCTGATTAGGTCCGATGGGGGGATGCGCTGGCATCCCAGAGACAGCCTTCCTTAAACCTCTCTCTCTCTCCGTCTCACCCCTCCCTCCAGGTTCTCCATCTCTTGGCACCGAGCTGGCCCGTTTGGACCCGTGGTGGCGCTCAGAGTGATCCTCGCTCCGACTGCGGCGGATTCTTCCATGGGGCTCGCTGATGCTCTTGCTGCGGCAGAGTCGGTTGATCACGTTCTGGGACACGGCCTCGTCGAAGCGCTGCCGGTGCTTCTTGGGAATGAAGATTCTAGCGAACATGGTGGCATGTGAGGAAAATAAAGGGGGCGATATTAGTTTTTGTCCACAAGAGTTGACTCAGAGAAAAGAAAAAGAGTAGGAAAGAAGATGGATCTACATCACAGATCCACCTCGATCCATTTTGCTGTCCCAGTGAAATAACAGCAGCAAGTCAAAGATCCAGCATGAGGAGGGATTAAAAAGTGATTATCAACTCAATCGCTGCTGAAATAAGTCCACACCAATTCAAATCAACAGGCTTCCTCCTTCAAGACTCAATTCAAAGAAAAGAGAAAGGCTTTTGATGGAGAGAGGTGGTCTTTCCCTGCTGTCCCCACAGAGAAGAAAAAAAGAGAAGTTGAATAGGAAGCCGGAGAGAAAGGGTCTTTCTCTGGAGGAGAGAGACAGTGAGGAAATCTTGGCGTTACTTGCTGCTTGCTGGAGTCTCACTGCTGCAGCGTGAGGTACCAGAGCCAGAATACAGCAAGAGAAAAAGGTGTGGGAGTGAGCGAGCATGGGATTTCTCCTCTGCCATCCCTCTCTCTCTTTTCCTATCTACAGTATCTCATTCTCACTCTCTCGCTCTCCCACACTTCCGTCCACGCCTCACCTCTGTGTCAGTGTGAGCACAGAGCAGGAAGCTGTCATCATCTTATTGACCTGAGACCTTATCAATATTCCCATTTTGATAAAGAAGCTCAACCCACTTCAGCTTCACGAGATCAAAGACAAGCAAAATCAGTAGGTGTAAATAGTTCACTCTAAATAAATCATTCTCATTTCAATTAAGAGTCCAGTATGAGCTTTGATTTGATTATAAGAGCTCCTTTTCACTACATACTAAAAACAGCAAGGGGAAAAAATGTCACCAACACCACAAAAGGAGCTCCACTGTCTTATATAATTCTTGAAGGGGTAGTCCAGAGATTTATGATTTATGATTTATATTAAACTTTTCTTAAGTTGGTAAACCTGTGAGAAACCAGTTTAAAAACTAATAGTCCAAATCGGTACAGCACAGGTCAAAATATGCTGAAATCCCAAAAGCTGGATCCTACAATCCCCATAATGCAACTTGATCAAATATTTCATTAGACCCTCCCTGCCTTTCTTACCAAGAATTTGACGAGAAGATATATGCCACTTTCACGTCCGGACAGTAAATATGAAGCCACAGCCAGGAGGATAGATAGCTTAGCTTAGCATAAAGGCTGGAGACACAGGGAAACAGGTAGCCTGGCTCCGTCCAAACCTTTAAAACTCACTAATTAACATATTACATCTTCATTATTTAATTCGTATAAGTCAAATTAGAATTAAAGTATAAAAATAACATGCCAGAAAGAAATGGAGCCAGGCTAGCTGTTTCACCTTGTTTCTATGAGAGCGGTATCGATCTTCTCATCTAACTCTCTGCAAGAAAGTGACAGGGCTTTGACTTTTTACTCAAAATTTAAACAAGTGTTTGGAGTGTAATGACCTATTAGAATTGGAAATGTACGGCCTATAAGCACAACAGACCATGAAGAGATTCAGTCGACTTCGTACAAAGCAGCCGTCTAACTCTACAACGACAAACTCACTTGCTAACGTTAGCCTGCCACCCAAGTGACGCAGTGGAGCAACGTCAAGTGTACAACCTCGTCTGACCCCTACTATTCAGCATTCTCCTACTACAATGTAGTCATATAGTCTTATAAAATGTAAGTAAGATGTCCAATATATCAACACCACATCTTTTTCCGGCCTAATAGAACCAAAATCGCATCTGATACATCAAGAGAGTCAGAAGTTGATTATTTGAATCCATGTTTGTGTAAATCGCAGTCCAACTGAGAGCGGAGCACCGAACACAGATCTGCACAAACAACCCTTTTGATTCCCACCTACACCAGTCTGCTGTGTTCTGACTCGCTGATTCGCTGCTGATCAGATGAATCAGCCATAAGCAGACTGGGTGTAGCGCGGTCTGTGAAAAACAGTACCAGTGGAGTAATTAGCAACAAACTCGCTGATAGAGACAAGAAGGAGACAACAGCTACCACTGTACATGTCCACTAGAAGCTAATTAAGCTGCATAAAAACAATTTTGACAGCTAAATAAAGCAATTAGGACACACACTGTACGGAGAGAAAGAGAGAGAGAAAAATATACTTCACAGCAAACGTGAGGCCCGGCAAATGTTCATTTTACTATCAAGCGTTGTTTAAGCACTTCTATTAAAATGGTACTCAGGTAAATGTAGAGCACCTCCTGTGCCGTTCCCGCCGTGTGGCGTATAATGAAATCTCATTTACATGTGGAACCTAAAGGTCAGCTACTGTGAACAGCACTGGTTGCCTGTATGCCTCGTTTCTGAGGTATGTTTAGTAGCTGTACAGACAGACTTATACAATAAAAATCTCATTATTTGGGAGTTTAAAAACAATGTAATAACAGTAATAATAACAATAATAATAACTTATCAGTTGAAATATAAACAGACATAGACATATCTGTGATACTGACTGATAATGTCGGCCATGCCACTCTAGATTTAATGCATGTTCAAATGTTGCTAACCAAGCAGAAAGGTTAGTCTCTGTCCTTCTAAATATATCATTCACTATGTTACGACTTGAAAGGATGGTGTCCTCTTCTGATCAAATTTGTCGGTAAGTAATCTCTTTATGAGATGTTCGTAGACGCTGTGAAAAGGTCAGAGATACTCTCCATAGATGAAAGATAGAGGTCCATAAACTGAAGTCTGTGAAGTCCATAAACCTGAACTGCTCAAGCAAGTCCTCTTTTATTATACAAAGGAGATACAGTACCTTGCAAAATACCGCATTAAAACTCTATTCCGTGAAAAAGTCTAATACTTCAAACCAAAAAAGCACTGAAAATACAGAATACAGAATTTAGAAATGTCCAACTTTGGGCCCCCCAGTGGTAGCAATAAAAAGTACACCGTGGTAAAGAACAACGTATGCTGCTACCCTCTTTACAGGAGCTCTCCATTCAGCACCACAACAAAACAAGTTTTTGACATGATTCTCCTGCCTCCTGCTTTAATTATGTATTTTTCCTGGCTTCCAAGAGCTCACAGCAGATTCAGTAGTGTATTGCAAAATGACTAAAGTGGTCTATTGAACATTTATGAAAGGGGCCTGCTTTACATATTAACATCAGTTCAAGATCAGATCAATTAGTTGTCATGAGGCATACCCCTGATGATGTCATGGTGAGGTAATCAGGGTTATTGATTTCGGCTTAAGACATTTTTTATTGAGACAACTTTTAACAGAGAGACTGTTACAAATTGGGGTTGTGGAGTTTGAAAGACGTGGGCATTTAGACAGGGAGGATCTAATGAAAACTGTTATCAAATTGCATTATGGGAAGTGTGGGATGGAGGGCTTGGCTTACTAGGGGGTTAAAGGTCAGGATATCTCACCCATCAGAATGATTTACATAATGCTAATATTACATCAAATGACCAACACGTAGTGGCTTTAAATTACCAGTACCACTTCCCTTTAAAAACATGCACCATTTGTTTTAATTTAATGCCATCACTCGTTTTAAAGTAACTGCCACTTTTAGGAATTGATGGGTATTTCATTTTTGGAACAAATCTGTTCAGTTAATGATATAGGCCACATATTCTTAGCCTCGCTGTCACCGTCTCTGCAGATTCTGATCAGGTTTGAGGTGTACATCATGTCATAATGCAGCCTGAGACAGTGCTGCAGACTACTGGCTACAATGAGCAGACTCCTGAGATATAAATAAATGTTCTGTAGTGATGTAGGTGTAGCAACCCACACAGTCCCTCACTGTTTGCTATCTGTGCTTCCCTGCTATTTGTCATCTATTCATATCACAGTGCTAATATGTCTCTGTCTCTCACACAGTACGTGTCTGTGTTAGGATGTGTGTGCGAGTGCATGTGTGGCTGCTGCTATCAGATTTATGCTTTTATAAATGCAGATGTTCATCCACCGCAGATTGCACAGCCATCTGTTGAAACAGCCACCTCATCACAAAAAGTTTTCCGCGTCAACTCTTGGAAACTAAATGAGTGCTCTGATTTGACCTCATTTATAGAGAACAGAGATCTATAATTATCTGAAGGAGGGTTGTGGAGGAGGAAGCAAGAAGGGAGGAAGGGACGTATTTCTCAAAAGGGAGGAATGACAAGCAGAAAACTACAAAGAGGAGACCTCATTTCATTTTGAGAGTCCAGATGTGGCTTAAATGCCAAAAGTGTGAGATTGATGCCACGTCTGAACACACGGAGAGGTGTGAAATAATGGAGAATGCTTTGGAGAGAACCTTTCTTACATGATCTATGTGTCCTGCTTCTGTTGAACACTGCCAAAAAAAGTGAAGCACAGTGGTAGGTAACACATTTAAGGATAAAGCCGGTGGAATTAAAAGATAATTATATGATTTCTAAAATCCCCTGTGAGCATCACTGTGTGGCTGGTCTGCATCCAGGAACTTGTAAAAGTAGATGATTAAAAACTGTGCTGGTAAAAAAAGGTCAGCACGCTGGATAAATGAGGCTAAGAATACATGTGATCAAAGTATGACCATGTTCACAGAATCATAAAAGGGATACTGATAAAAGAATAAAGAATGAAACAGAAAATAAGCTGTAATAAAGGAAAAAGGGGCAACTCTTTCATGATGTTACATAACATATACAGAGTTCCAGGTTTAAGCATGACTGCACAGTGTAAATTAAAAGCCAATCTGACTATACTTCTACAGCAGAGGTGGATATGCTTTTACCTATTTCATACAGTACATTAAATGTAATTGGTGACACTATTTGCTGATGCTGTAAGTGATGATGGTGCTCAGGTTGAGTACTGTGACATCTCTACAATTATAGCTTTGCAAAACTAACCTGACTACTACTAGATGAGCTTAGTTTTTTGGAACAGGTCTAAAAAACATCCACAGAGACTACAATATGTTTTTTTATTTTAAACCTATCAACTACCGAACCAACAACACTACATTTCTGCCTACAAATTTACATTAAAAATCAAAAATCATCATCAAGAGTCTACAGCCATGCTAGCTGCTCCGTGTGGATGTACTAAATGCTAACATGCTCACAGTGACAATACAGTACAGCTGAGGGTGATGAGAGCAAGTATTTGATATCAAATACCAAAATATTACAGAAATTCAGACTTTGATCTGGTGATGATTGTGGCATTGTGTAGTCAGACGGTCATTATAAGTTATTACAATTAATCCTGAGGGGGACGTGAATGTGTGTGCGGAATTTTGGGGAAATCTAGCTGTCAAGATATTTAACTAAAAACCAAATATGTCAACTTCATATAGATGAAAATCCAAATCAATATCTTGAATATCTGTACAACATGTAATGGTAATCCATCCAGTAGTAGTCAAGCTATATCAGTCTGGACCAAAATGGTGGATCAACCCAACTGACCACCATTGCCATCTCTGAAGCCATGGATGGTCCGTTGTGCTTTTTGTTGGTCTCATTAAACAGCACCTAATTTGGTTGCGTGTGTTGATGAAAAGAGACAACTTGCAGTTATGAATGCACTGGCTTTAGTACCGTTTGTGCTCATCGCCGACTTTAATGAAAACAGTTTGCAAGGCGCTTGAGAGCCACTAATGTTTCTAAGCTTGTGCAGTGTAGCAACTCAGCAGGAGCTGCAGCCACTGACTCCAGCAGTTAGGATTAAACACCATCATTATCAGAACTATTGAAAGAGAAAGCTTTGTGCACAGCATAATCAACCTTTGATCACTCTTTTTCCTTTATAGGGCACAACTATCACTGCATTCCTACTTAGCTAAGAAGGTAGACCTGCTTTGAAACAAATCTCCATGGCCATATTTCCCATGCAGTTATTGGTAGACATCATGTGGTACAAAAAAGCCAAAAGTGGCTGCTATTTTCAGAGAACACACACAGACTTGATGTAATACAGGCAGATAACGTTTAAAAGGACGTCAACATCAACATTCAGCACACCAGCACACACAGATACCCACAGGCACACACCCTCAAACACGTGGCAAGAGATTACATACTAAAAGCAGTGCATCACTCATCCTAATGACTTTAGTCACTTAACAGACAATAGTACAGTAGTGTCCCTTTGTTTTACAACTAGCAGTTTCCATCCAAGTGTGGTCGCATCACCTCCAACTACATGAACACGCTGTTGACGGCTCATTTGAATTAATAAATTATAGATACAAAACTCAGAATTGCCTCGAAGAAAGCTTAGAAAAACAACCGGGGAATAGAGGGTTTCGAAGCTAAAAACATCAGATATCAAACATCAACAGCAGCTGTAGTCCTGTACTGTCTCTGATTGCATCAAATATTCACTCACCTCCCACTTCACATACATAATTACACTGATAGCACTTTGTAAAAGCAGTGCAGCTGACAAAAATGCATAAATTCCCCCACAAATGAACACGTCTCATAAAATCTTTAATTAACAACACACAAAAGAACGAAAAGGTATACTCACCCCAGACAATTCATCGTTTTAGCTATCACTCATGTCTCAGAAATAAACTAAACCTAAGCACTAAGTTGCACCACCACGGATACACCTACTGCTTCAACGCTGCTTCTCTGTGGGGGATTAAAGATATGGTGGGACCGTGGTGCATGGAGGCTGTCTTTACCAAGTGTCAAGGGAAAACGGTCACCACACAGAGAGAGAGAGAGAGAGAGAGAGGGAGAGAGTGCGGGGAACAGCCCGGGCTCTGAACAGAATAATGAAGAAGAAAAAACAACACAAAAACCCCCCCCAGAGAGAGGGGGAGAGAGAGAGGTAAGAGAGTTGTGAGATGGGTGGGGAGTGCAAAAACCACAGAGAGGTGGCATTAATGTTATTACTGGTGCTTGCGCAAATAGGAGTGTCCTTCATTATACAAATACCAATGAATTCTCAGTCGACAGAGTTTGAATTATTCATGACCAATTTTAAGGCAGAAAAATCCTGTCGCTTCGCGTCATTTCAGGTCGGGAAACAATGAAACTACCTCAGCACTGACTTCCTGCTGCTGGAAACTCTTCCTACGGTATATTAATACCATTAAAACATAGTGGTGTAGTAGTGGAGGAAGCCAGTGTAGTAATAGAACAAAAGGTTTGATTGGCTCTACTTGAGGAAGAAGTGCAATCTGTTGACAAACCGTCTGGGGATTCACAGTGCCGGTCATTCTGGCGTACACGACTCTGGCTACCTGAGTGGTTATTCACGTTTAGTCATCTGGCGTTACTCCATCTCATAGAAACACACTGCCATACACCTTCAAAAAACCTGTTGGCTGTAGCTCCAGGTTTTTTTCCTTAAAAAAAAAAACACATTATGTTTTCATGAAGCGAGTACTCGACTCAATCTGTCCGTGGCTCATCATCACAGGCACCTCCATGCTGTGAATTCGGCTCACGTCGCCAATCCCCATTTACCGTAGAAAAAACTCTAAGCTTGGGCCCCTCCATGTCAATTTAGTCTCTCGGTTTCACTAACACTGATGACACTCTAAGCGACTTGGAGGGTCAGTGTGGATTTACCCCGGGTGGCAGATGGGGCCCACCTAAACCTAAAGCGGAGCTCTGAAATGGCTGGCAGCGGACGAGACCCCCCTCTAATCCATCCTGCCACAGAATGAGCAACAGGAAAAGCCTGTTTACGTGGTCATTACAAATTAAATCCCTGCAGATTATTTTACTTTTCACTAGGTCTTGAAAAGGACAAGTGAGGATGTGTGTGGGATACAATACCAAGAGTGGGAGTAATAATCGACCAACACTGCCATACTGCCTGTCTTGATTTGCCTGTCCTCGGATCACAGCCTGTAGTAGGTCGGTAATGTACTTCTTTAGGATTTATTTGCCGTATTTGCCCAGGATATGGCTTTTTATGGTCAATGGTTGGCCACTTTCACAGTTTCAAAGGGTGGATTAGAGAGGTCAGGCCACAAACAAGAACCATGCTCTCCACTGAATAAGCAGCCGTCTTTCTACGGGCAGTTTATACTAAACTACGTTTGGCAGTCCATTGTAATGGGGGCTGAAACGTCTGGCTCTTACCTGATGCTGGAGATGAGCTGTCGATGCTCATCAGTTGTGAGTATGTCGGGCAGGGCGGAGGCCAACCACTCAACTCTCTTCTCTGTTGCGTACTGCTTCAGCACGTTGAACAGTTTCTCTTTGACTTCAGGCTCATCACCTAGAATCTGCTCAACCTGATGGAGATTGGACAGCGGTGTTAGAGGCTCGGAGTCGTTTGTTGACATGACAATAGAAACGGGGGGACATGTGGCACCTAGTTTTACACAGTGCCTGATTATTAGCATAACAACACTTCATCCTCGAAAAACACAATAGCCTTATACATATTACTTAAGTTTGGACTTGAGCTTGAGTTAGATTTTGTGTCTTTGGATATTTTGTCGTCCACTCTGCATTGTATGAAATTTCATAGGAAGGATTTAGCAGAGCTACTATTATACAGAAAATATTACTGTAACAATTTCAAAAGAGAAATCTTGGATTCACCTTTTTCCAACTGAGCCAGGCCCACTTCAAACTTTGGCAGAAGTTTTTTTGGGTTTACGTAAGACATTATTGAGAAAATACATTTTCAGGCCTTCAACTGCCGAACTCAACTGGACGAGGTATCAGGATTAACCTGGATTCAGCTGTTAGTGTGTTCCTAAACATACCTTCCTGTTGAACTCCAGAGCTTTATGTTTACGATCCAGTCTCGCCCCTTCTACTCCCAGCTGACTGTCCTCTATACTGATACTGTGTTTCTGCCTTGGGGCAAGGCACAGCACCCCCAGACGGAGCGTCCTCCCCTGGGAGGCCTTGATCAGCGCCGCAGCCATTTCGTGCTGCCTGACGGGGATGCCGTTGACCTCCATGACGTAATCCCCGGCCCTCAGACCTGCGCGGCCGGCTGGAGAGCAAGGCGAGCAGTCCTCTACCAGCAGGGGGCAGTCTCCCACAATGGTGAACCCGAAACGACCGTCCGGACCGGGTATGATGTCCATCTGAAATTATAAATATGAATTTTCTTTAATTCAGGACAATTTGCCTAAATGTTAGACCCCAGAACATACCCCCAAAAGGATCAGTCTCTTTGGATATACTGTTATCGTACTATCACATGCAACTCCACAGACATTAACCCCCATATGCATTACTGCTGCGATTGATTCAAAAGCTGTAAAACCTGCTGTATGCGGGACACCACTCCGATACTGGGAGGGATGTTCTTCTGAGTCTGGGCGATGGCGATGACAGCTTGGGGACCCAGTGTTGACACATTGTGGCCCTCGATCTCCAGGACCTGGTCCCCGGCCTGCAACCCCGCCAGGTGGGCACTGCTGCCCTCCTCCACAGACAGAATGTAGCTGGGTCCATTCCCACCCAGCTGGAAGCCGAACTCCTCAGGCCAGCCCTGGTTGGACGACGGCATGCTGAGGACTTGAGGGAGGAGAGGACGGGATGAAATAGGTGAGGTGGGAGAAAGAAACGATGTGAGATTTCAGGGGGGAGCAAGTAACCACACATAATCCAAGGGGTTTCACAAAGTGGGGGTCCTGCACTTTGGAGCTTCACTGCAAACAAAAATGGACGAGATAATGAGACATCATGCTTAAAAATGAAGATAAACTTACCCACTGTGGCCAATACATTCAAGTCAATCGACATTGCAAAGACACCTTCGGATCAAATAATCCTCTGCAAGAGCTCCAATTCTTTGCCACTCGCGCCCTGTCTCTCCTCCCTCCTGCTATCTCCTGTGTCTCAAGTTGTACTATCGAGTGCGGCTCTGTAACCCTCTACCCTGAACCATGACACACTCAGCGGTCCCTGACCTGGTTCACAAACTCCACAGCAGCCAATCAAATTAAGGCATTGCAGAGATTGTGACCTTAATTAGTTTGAGAGACAAAAGTTCCTCCTGCAATTTTTTTTTCCACTGCACATGCGAGTCTCTCCTGTTGAATTGCAATTATGCAATATAGTCACAGAGCACACCATGACTGCACTGAAAATTTCTAAGCAGGTAAGAGTTACAAAATGGCATCAAATAATCAAAAAAGGAAAACTGGCAAATACAGAGGGTCAAACTTTGGACTGAAATATTGAATTGCTATTGAATTATTGAATTGAAATTAAAAAATATAATTAATCCACATGTGACAGTTTTAAAAAAAACATCTCTAATATGACAAATACAGAATTACAGAAATTGACATGTTGGCTTTTTGCTAAATATAATCAACTATAAAGCCTCTTGCTCAGCTGGAAGCTAATGATGTGCCCCACAGTCTCCAAAGCCGCAGCAGGATTCACACAGTGGACGAAGCTGATAAAGGACTTACAGAAATCTTTAGATGGATACCGAGAGCCCCGTTTGCTCTGCCGAAAAGAGTATCGGCCTTTTTTGTTTTGCAAAAACTTCTTCATCTTGAATGTCAAATAGCAGCCGGCCTTCTAGCAGCCTGATATCCAAGCTGTCTTCTCAAATATAATGTTAAAAAAAAAAAAAAAAAAAAAAATCCCTTTGATCACCCTGCAACCAAAGTCAAAAGAAAGGGTGACAAACTCAAAAAAACTGCCCCATTCTTCCACCCTGAAATCACAGAGCTGTCCTCATGGAGCAAAGTATGAGTGTGCATGACGAGCCAGTGCCAGTCTCTCTGTGACTGTGTAAGGAGTATATCCTGGTCTCTTCCCATGATTCCATCCTTGGGCAAGCTGCCTGCACAGGGTAAATCAGAAACTGGGCGGTCACCCGGCACCTCGGTTCCTTAATAATATCTCTCTCCAAAAAGGGTATTGGGAGGCTCATTTTTCTATAAACTACACCAATTGTCTTTTTCCTCTCTCTCTGCACTTTAGGGGCTTTCTCCAAGGGCCGCTCTGGCCCAGAATCACTCTGCCGTCGATGCAAGGAAGCCTGCTGAGTATAATTGGAGCGTCTGCGTTGTCTGGAATTCTGTGGCGTTACCATTGTGTGAGCGGCACTGAAGTTGACCCATGAGAAGGTGCAGGGGCAATTTAAGAGCTTTAGCTTGTAGGATTAGTTAGGATTATGAGCTAATCTTCTCCTCCACCCCCCTTCATTAATACTGAAGCGAACCACATGCTTCGCCCTCCATTAATGAATACATACACTGGCTGGTGAGAAGCATACGGATTGTACATACCAAAAGGCATTTATTATCTGGTGATGAGTCAAATGTGTGACAAACACATTCAGCGTCAAGAATACAGTCTGTATCAGAGGCTGAGTTAGGTCAAAAATGAAGCGGAAAACATTTACAATTAAGACTGAAAGCATCAAAACCTGTGCATAAGTATATAAGCTCAATATTTCCAAACTGTTCTGAAAAAAAATGAGAAACACTGCTGAGTCTATGCCTTTGATTTCAACCCATTGTTCTGTCTCGTTTCCTCGGTTGAGGCTGATAACAGCGAGCACTGCCAGCTTTAATTTGTCTTTCAAAAATTCCAAATCTTGGCAGCAGGTATTTTTATAAAAATGTCTGAGAAAAATAGTTGATTGTTGAGTCTCATTCCCAGGTCGTCACATACCAACGCTTTGGGACCTGGGAATGAGACTCAACAATCAACTATCTTTCTTGGCTCCGATTTTCATTCAGCCGTTGAAAAAATACAATTAGTAACACAAGGAGGAGCCAGAGGAACCTGATTGTTTCACATATTATTTGTCTCATTTACTAATGTCAGAATATAGTGAAAGTTTCAGCATATATGATTTTTATAGAAGTTACGTAGTGCTTTAATGTTGTAAACGACTAATATCATGTGCAACCAATGATGACTGGGTTATGCTGTAGAGCCCTCACAATATCCCTAAGGTAGTAAAATCATCACGTAACAGAAAATGTAAGGAGTTCAAATGAGATGACAATGGTTTAATATGACTGATATTTCACTTAAATGCGAATTAAAATGGAGTGCACTTTTCTAGTCTGCCGACCACTCAAAGCGCTTTAGACTACAGGCCACATTCGCACTGATACGCTGATGGCTGAGGCTGCCATGCCAGGTGCCAACTGCTCATCAGACACCAACTAATCCCATTCACACACACTCACCAGGGAATTGCTTGCTCACACATTATCCACACATTAGGCATAAACATTTATTTAATGGCCATTAAGCTCTGCCTCCAAGTGGCCCAAAAAAAACAACAAAACAGAATAATGCTGCATTTAGTAGTCCCATATAGATGTTTTCACTTATTGTGGCTAATTGGACCTCCTCACATATTGGACATGGTGTGTCCAGCTTGTATTATTAGTGTGGGGCAACTTCCACATTTATCATTCTTATTAGGTCATTAGCTCAACTAAACCAAACTTTAACCACAGCAGAGGTCTAATCAGCCAAAATAGGATTACATTAGTACATTTCAAAAGCAGTTAATTCTTAAGAATAAAATTTACTGAATTGCATTTTAAAAGGGAGAACATTATTAACAGTGAATTTTATGGCTACAAAGAGTTCCCAAAGACTGATTTCAATTGAAAATGAGTGCAGACTTGATACAGCTGCTCAACTACAATAACATGAGTAAATGTGATTACTTTCTTCCACCATCGAATGTTAGGTGGTTAGGTTATGTAGAGGGGGAAGATATCATTATTATTGTTAGGGCACTCCAGATACACTTACTATATGTTAAGGCAGCTGTGGGTTAGTCAGTAACAGCAGTTAAGATGTTATTGGCAGTAAATTTAAACGAGGGGAAAGTACTGAGGAAGCCTGCAGATTATTGGAGTGTAAACTGTCATTAGTGGTAAAGCACCCAATAAAGAACAGGTAGTCCGGTACCAACTGAATAATTAAACACAAATGGCTGTATCTCCAAAACACACACCGTTCACGACAATCAAACTCTCCTCTTACACTAGAGCCAAGACGGTTACTCAAGATGACGGACAGAAAACTGACATTTCACAGGCAATTGAGTCTGATAGAAATGTCCCACTCAGTTAGCAAAACTGTTCCTGAATTCAAATAAATTACTTTTACATTTGAGCATACATGCATTATACTTTAGACAAGTTTTTTTTTATATTAAAAAACAAAGAAACCTGAAAGAAATTGCTAAATTGGCCCTTCAGTTGCCATAAATGGGGTGAAAAGTATTTGGAAACACTTCATAACCCCAAGTTGTAAATGCAAATGCATTCAGTGCATTGTAACCAACTACATATCTAACATAAGAGGCATTTCAAATGATCAACACACCAGCACAGCTACACATCCCTACCTTTTTAAACAGCGTCCATAGGTGTGCGTGCAGAGCTCCTGAGTAATGTTCCCCTCTCCAGCACTGTGAGCTGTAATATGAGTGTGGGGCCATGTCGGCAACCAGATCCAGCAGGTGTCTTGTGATGCCGTGTTGCATTGTGTGGAGCACTGGATGACAGTGGGAGAGAGAAAACAATACTAAGAAAGTGTCAGTTATTTATGTAGGGAGCTAGAGCCTTCTCAAGTCGTCTGATTTGATGTCTGACTGGAAGAAAGTAGTGTGCTCCTCTTCATTCAGAAAATAAGATTTCTGATAAACACACAGGAGACTGGATACCTCTGAAGCCAGGGTTGGTGAATCTGACGGTCATAATACTCTGTTGGAAAAATAAAAAGGGCCTTCAGAAGAGGAAAGACATCCAAAACTCCCCAAAATGTGTGAAACCATCAGACTGAACACTTTAAAACCTGGATTTCTTCGACTCTTTTTCTCAATGATTTGTCATCTTTAAAAAGCGGATGCAGGCTTATGTAAATATGTCTCTTACTGACAGCATCCCTCCCTCCCTCCCTCCTCCCTGCAGCAGCCTCAGCGTGTTAGCACAACCCAATGTAGCCACATCGATGCTAAGGAAGCAGCATTGTTTACAGAGCATGTTCACGAACCAAAAGTGAAGCTGGTGGCCATAGCGCTAGCCAAACCAACTATGTTGACGTGAGATAAAACCCTGAAAGGCAGCTATGTGTGACCTGGACTAAAAGGTAAGGGTGTGGAAACTGAGTAAACTGAGTATAGAAAGTAGCTAACAGATATGGGGGTTTGCTAACGTTTGGGTAAAGGTAGCATGCTAACGTGAACTTGTTCCTCTGAGTCGTTTTTAGAAGTAATTAATTCATTAATTCGTTCGTAAAGTCTTTACAATGTTTAAACACAATAAACAGAACAACATTACAGTTATAGCTATTATAAAATGATCGCTGTCGTTGAGTTAGCTCCTGTTCATGGTCAGTTTGTCGCATAAACACCTGTTGTTCTGTGTCTCTGAAGCTGCCAGGTGAGACATGGATTTCCTCACTCTGTTCGCTATCTACGTCGTAGTGGTGCTGACATGTATAGTCCTGGTCTGCAAATACTCAGGCCAGCAGCAAACCCCCTTTAATATCATCTTCAACGCGGTGGTAAAGGTAAGAAAAGAAGCACTCTGGCTGTAACTCCACCTACTAACACTGTGTGGCGCTGTTGGACTGATTTGTCACATAATGTTCTTCACAGGTAGTCGCACCTTTTACGCCAAAATGGCTCCAAAAGTTTTCACAGTGGACATTGCACAGACTGTTCCATCAAAGGTTTGTGGTTAAATAATAAAGTCTGAATATAATTTAAGTGTGTATCTGTGTATTTCAGTGTAATAATTAATAATTCTGTATATTTGCCTTCATCCTTTTTTTTCCATTTGGATCTAATTTCAGGAACAACATGTTCATCTGTCTGCATGTCCTGCTAGAGGCTGCCGTGTACGCAGAGTTCACCTATGAGGTGTTTGGCTTCTGCAGGGAGATGGATACCACTCTGACCAGCCTGTCTGTGCCTTACGTCCTGCTGGCCATCAAGACCTCCTTCTTCTACCTCTGCATCAAGAGAGATCCAGGTTCATTCAGCTATTCAAACATATTTGTTATTGGCTGCAGTGGGAGAGAATTCAGTTCTTATTCAGTGTTAAACATTTAGGTTTTGATTAAATCAAAGTCTTTTAAAGCAATAATGGTAATTTAATTTGTTTGCCCCAGTTATGTGTTTTATAAACTTGTTTTATGAATCGCACATTTAGATATATAGTAGATATATATATAGATATATATATATATATATATATAGTATGAGACAGGCAGGGGGACACTGACTGTATCCCTTCCCAACATGCCACAGAGTTATTCTTTGTCAGCGTGCTGCCATATTTTGGAGATATTTTGGATATTTGTAATTTGTGTGCTTGATTTTCTGTTGTTTACATCCTTACTCCTCTTCCATTTAATTTCCCTACAAGGATCATTCAAGATTCATTCAGTTTATTCTTAGGGTGATGTTGGTCTACCTTACGACTGCTTATAAGGCCCTGTAGTTTGTGGGTGTGCAGAAAAAGCAGTTAGGCTTTAGATGTTTGCCGATGTTTTACAAGAAT